CCGCTTGGCTTGGTCAGGCTCCGGCCACGGGCTGGTCGGACCCAGTCGGGTCCACATATGAAGACGCCCGGTGCCGGTGGCTCCACGCAGCTGAAGTGCCCTGAGCTGGTTCGCGGAACTGGTCATAGTCCGGCGCAGATCAGTACCGGCGGGGAAGAGGCTGGTGGGGCTGGTCAGCACCACACTCGGGGACAGCTACAATCGCTGTTGTGAGAGCAGCCAAGGCGGATCCGCCGCCTCCAAGGGCAGCTCCCATCGTTCCTTGCAGCAGTCCGAGCCGCCAAGCATTAGCATTTCTCTTGTACGCAGGCCCGAAGGCCCAAATTCAAAGGGGGCTGCACCCTACCACCCATCCAGACCTCCCATCCTCACCCTCTCCTACACCCCCACCTCCTGCCCAGATCCTGCATCCCCATCTCTATCCCACTCACTGGTAGCCCTGGCCCAGACACAGAACCCTGTATTTTTGTTCCCACCCAAGAGCCAAAGGGGGAGGGTCCACAAAATCTACCAGAACCACAGAAAAAGCAACTAGGACTGCATCTGAGGGAGTGGGGTCTTTGCCCACGAATACTTATGCTCCAATATACCTGTTCCTCTATAAGGTGCCACAGGACTCCTCCTCGCTTTTGCAGATCCAGACTAACAGACCCCTTAACAGACCCCTCTGATACTTAACCCCAGAAAAGTAATTCTGGCCTACTTTTATAAAGCCGTTGGCGAACGCAGTTTTTAACGGGGATTGGACGCTCAGGATCTATTCACCCTCCTTAATCCGGCCCCTGGCTTTCAGACCGGTGCGGGAAAGATTCATGGAACCAATCACTGGCATCGTGTGACTGTTCCATGTGCTTCTGTCATAGGGTGCGTGACAGGCAGACACAGACACACAGACCCCCTCCCTCTGTGTTTTCCAAGCAGAGTAAGACGGAGGGGGAGGAGACAGAGGAACCAGCAGCGGGACATTCTGTGTCCAGCCAGACTCTGGAACCCCCCTGCCAGGAGACAGAACAGCGCGATGCTGCGTCACACCCGCCTGGGTCCCCCCGTTCTACTGGCCCCGCCCCCGGCCCATTTCCTTTCAGCTCACAAACAAACAAACAAACAAAACCCTTCACCGCTGTAGGGAGGGTGACTGTGTGTATCCGATAGCGACGCTGAGCAATGGCTGGGAGGGGCTCAAAGAGAGGTTCTACCGTGGCCTCCCTGAGCAATTACAACATTTAAGAAAATTGTGGTTGAGAAGCAAAGCTTAACATCACTGTCAGGGTGCACGAGTGGTTTAAGAGGCCAGATACAAAAGCCTGTTATTCTCAGAAGTGGGTATTCTGGCCTCCGAAAGGATACGTGGGATCAATTCCTCCCTCCCCCCATATGGGCCCTGTTTTCCATGTGGAGAAGTGACCTCATTTCAGCGTCTCCCCATAGCACCTACTTAAGGCTTCCGAAGTGGCAACAGACGTTGGAGTGATTTCAAATATCTTCAGGAACTCCCCGTTCAGGGCGTGGGGGGTAGTTCTGGAAATCTTGAGGGAAATGGGGAATGTCTGCACTTTGGAAACAGAAGGGTTTGTCTTGGATCATAATCTAGAACAGTTGGATGCTGTTTTTCCAGCAGGGCGCTATGTCTTAGCTTGCCAAAGCGCTGCCTGGTAAGTAGGAGATTCAAATCCCACTGGTGCCTTTTTGTAGCCTTTGTTACCCTTTGCTCACCTTTTCCAATGCCCTTCTGGTTTGCTGTGGGGAGGCAAAATCCAGTGCCCGGCCCCCCCCCAGCCAGCCAAGGCTCCGCCTCTGCGCCCCTCTTGTGACACAAGCAATAACGTGTCAACCCGCGAAGGGGGCTAGTTCCCACCCTCTGCCTTGTGCAGGGTGGTTCGATCCAAGCATCCCAGCCCCCACCCACCTCCACTCTGCCCTGAGCGGTACGAGGGGTCGGGCTGTCCATGCGTCTTGACTTTTCTTCAAAGGGGGCTAGTTCCCACCCTCTGCCTTGTGCAGGGTGGTTCGATCCAAGCATCCCAGCCCCCACCCACCTCCACTCTGCCCTGAGCGGTACGAGGGGTCGGGCTGTCCATGCGTCTTGACTTTTCTTCAGCGGGTGCGGTTACACCAGGACCTTTACCTGGGTGTTCTGACACCAGCGCATGCATGGGAGCTGGGCACTATAGAAAATCCCTCCTGACACCTCGATACCCGGATCAATCCGGCGCCAGGCGCCTTGTCCCGGGTGACATGGGGAGTCTGGGACAGAGCAGGGAACCGAGCCTGGCCATGCAGGGTACCAGCTGTGCACCCTGCCCCACACCGGTCCACCCTTGCTCCCTTCTGCTCCATCTGAAACCTCAGGCAATAAACTTCGCATATCATGGTGGGTTTTGGTTGAAAATTTTTCATCTAGTGTGTCCGGTATTTTTGTTGAAACCATCTGGCAATCCTACCACCCAACATTGCTAAAATTGTGCTCCATTTCCTGAGGGGGCTGGACTTGATGACCTTCTGAGGTCTCCTCCAGCTCTCTGATTCTAAGACCCTCTAGTAACTTATAAAGGAATGGCAATGACAATGAGAAATTACAGACTACTGCTTTGCAGTTGGTTCATATTTTATATTAATTGAAATGATCACAGCTCATACTTTGTGTGTTTCTAAAGTAGCAGCGTGGCTGTTACTCCTGCAGGCTCATTTCAGCTAATACTTCTCTCCATGCCCCTCTTCTAAAATATAGGGAACATGTAGGGACAGCAGAGAAGATGGGTATTTTGGGGCCATGAAGAGTGCTGCTTCAAGTCCTAATCTTTTTGTTACCTCAGAACAGCCCAAGGTATATGCTATGACTGCAACAGCTCCAGCTCTAATCGTAGAAGTTGTGATTTGGGCAACTCTGCATATCACGGCACACAACTATGGTTGCGGGGGTAGGGGAACACACATAAACATCAGTGTCTATCATCTCCAAAATATCCATGAATAGTGAGGGGCGATCAGCATACAGGAGTCAATGCTCATCTTGTATGCTCCTGTGTTGCCAAGGTTACTCCCCAAATGGTTTCCCAGAACAGTGATTGCAAGGTAAGGGAAGAGAAGGTAAAAGTGAATGCATCACCATTCTTAAAGCGTGCACTGTCTGTGACTATGATGATGTTACTTGTATCCTGCAAACCACAAATGGCTACCCAGTTAAAGCATCATATACAATGTACCTTTTTGCACTTGGATAGTAAGAATAAACATTTTGTACAATGAATTAGATTATGCAGTGAACAGAAATTCTGGTGAAGGCAGGAAGTAGAAAGGGGAATATATATAGATGAATAGTTCTTTTCTTCCAATGTACAGGCAGTCCCCGAGTTACATTGATCCGACTTATGTCAGATCCGCAGTTACGAACGGGGTTTGCTGCCCGTCTCCCTGGTCTGCTGAAGACAAGCAGACCAGGGAGACGGGAAGCAAACCCTCTGAGGACGCCGTCAGCGGGACAGCTGCAGCACGTCTGGGCTGTCCGTTGCCCGTGTGCTCCGCGGCTTTGCTCCACGTCTCCCCAGACCAGGGAAACGGGGAGCAAAGCTGGGGAGCACGCGGGCAGC